TCTGCGTCTGATGACAAACTCAACGGTTGAAGGCATAAGCGAGTGTTCATCTAAATTATTTGCGCCTCAACAACATGCGACAAATGACACAACTATTTGTTGGCATTGTCATTATTCATCAGATTTCATCAATCATTCAACCATAGTTTTCCGATGCCTGTAGACTTGCCACTCCAAGCGATAATAATTACTCCATTCATTTGTCTCGTCAAGCCAATCGCACTCAAATTCGTTTGCGTCACTCGACTAACCGAGCCGAGAGTGTGCTGAAACATTTGGAATTGTGTTGAGGCAAATTTGCTGAACAGACTCAACAGCCGCCGCGATGGAAATCACCGAAATTCAACGCAATTATACCGAAAACTCCTTTATCTTTCGCGAAACACAATGTCTTTCTCATGAATGAATTTGAATTTTCGTGACAATTTTGCTTGGTGTGATGAAGATGTGAATTTTTACCCGAATTTGATGTGAAAAACGTGAATTCGCAACAACAAAAAACAACAACACAGGAAGCTTCTTTGAATACTTCACATTGAAGCAAACTCACTGCGTGCAGTCATTTTAATATAGTGAAAAAATCGTGCCATTCAAATTAATTTAAATAGAATTTTTAAGAAGATACGATACAGTGAAGAAGAAAGAAACGTTTGACAAAGTCATGCTGCAGGGTTAACACAAACCACAAAGCCCAAAAATGTTGAATAACATAAACAAAGGGCACATGTCGGATCTTCGTATCAAATACGCATCTTTTACAGATAGATTGCTAGATTATTTACAGAATGATTTGATATATTCTTTTTCCTTTCTTTTATCAGTAAAATGATGCCGCCGTAGGACTGTGCAAATACATTAGGTGGATTATCATAACATGGAAAATACTCTCTATTTACAACTCCTTTAAACTCGCTCTTTCATCTTTTCCAAAAACATCAAAAATGTGCACTGGGTTGAAATCGTTCTCTCTCGCTCTCTCTCTCTCTCTCTTTAGCTATTTCTCTTGTGCTGGGTCTGTACCTCTCTTCCACTCTTGCTCTTGTCGTTGCTTTCGCTCTCACTCTCATTTTACTCTAATTACGTGCTCTTGGCAAAGCTTAATTTGTCTGCTTTGCTTTCGCGATGCTTTGTGTATGCCAGTACAGTGAGTTGAGTGTCGATGTTGAAGCGAGTGGTTAATGATTTATGCAGAAAAAAAAGAATATCATGTTTCGCTTCAACACCCATAAAACCATGCATTAAAAGAGCCAACCATTGGCCGAGTGAGACTTACGTACAAAAAACCCCTATACAACGAGCGACTCTATTATTTGCTAGAGCCGTCATGTAGCATAAGTACTTGTAATAAATTAGAATAAATTTGTGGATGGTTCTATTTGTTCTATATACACAGCGTCATTTCCGTATTCGGGACCAAAAGACGATGGTTAGCTTGGCACAACGACGATAATAATGATGATGGCGATAGAGCACAAGCCAAAGACATTGTCTTATCATCCATTCTATATGGAATGTGGAAAATTTGATAAACACAACCCATAACTTACGGCATTGACAAACGCAATGACTTTCACTCGGTTTGGCTGGTGTTTGTGTTCGTTTGTTGTCTTTCAAGACAATTTCGATCCATGTTATTATTATTTAAGCACCTATTAATATGTTACTTAACACCCCTTTGCCTCGCCATAAAATGATTGACCGCAATTTTGTCGTGTGGCGCCTATTTCTTCTTCTTCTCTCTCTCTCTCTCTCTCTCTCTCTCTCTCTCTCTCTCGCTCTCGTTCTATAACCTTTTGCTCTTTGATATATGTTTAAGCGGCTACACAAAATTCAATCTAATCAAATATTTATTGGCAGAGAAGGAAATGCGATGAATTTTTAATTAAATTCTCGAGTGGTCACTTTTAAAATGAAAAACAACCACGAAAATTTACTTGGAATTGATTGGGCGCAAGAAACTCTTATGTGGGTTTTTGGCATGTCTGGCGATGATCGAAAGTGGTTTTTCAATCGACTCTTCAGAAAGAAACTTTCACTTATCGCATGGATAATAATTAGTATATCACTTGATAGCCTGAAGCACACATATCACATTATATTGAACGCTGTTTGATAGTTGACAATGAATGATCTGAATGATGCGTGAAATGTTTTGGATTGAATTTCAATTAGCTCAATATGGGATTAGTGAAAATAACATCGATTGCACTCGGGTGGAAATAACGTACAATACCAAATAACAATCAATTGAATGGCCTTATCAATTCCGAAACATATATTTAATTCAATTATTGTCTGCATCAATTAGTATTTATTTTGAATATATTCAATATTGAAATTTTTCATCAATTTTTTTATATCATTGCAATTATAAAGGTTTACCGTTTCAATGGAAAATCTAACCACAATCCCAATCAAAAAACACAAACGTTGAAATAGGCCAAATATTTCGAAGCGTGAACCATACAGTGGTGTCATAACCATTCTTTGACCCATCGACCATAATTGCCCTAATTTCATGCTCAAATGTTCAATTTGGTTATGAAAATCGAAATAAATTGATTAAAATGTGAATTTTGCAAATATGGCCGCTTTGGAAAAAAGTGGATGCACTTTTCATGAACGATGCATCGATCGTCGTTTTTTTTCTGCATAAAATAGATAGAGATATGTTTTTTGTTGTTTTTTGCTTAGAGCATCGAACCAAATTTAATAAACTCCTAGATATTAATTACTTTTTATCTGCCTGTTTGGCCGCTGCATATTCATTTCAGCCATAGATATACCAATTTTAATCGATTGGAAACGAGAGAACATGTTGAAATCCATGCACGTCTCTTGTTTATCGGATGTGTGTTCAATTGAATTACACAGAGACATACACATTCGGGCGGCCAGGATAAAAATTCCCATTCGCTAGTTTTCTTTTTCGTGTTGTCAGACGTCTGTGCGTGTATGTGTGTAAAAAGAGAAAATCGTAATTTGTATCAGTATGGCATAAGCGGAGAAGGAATCGACAGCGTAGCTAGCCGAGTATTTGTCTATAATATAGTTAGAATGCGGTGGAAATGTTTGCAACCATATGAAGTCAACTGTTTATGAAGCGTTCAATTGTGAAATGGGATTGTATGCGTTGCATATATGCTGATCAATCTACCCAACTAACACATGAAACCTACAAACAAAAACACATACACATACTTTTGTATCGCTGTATATCATTCGGGATTCGGTTCAAGAAATAGGGAATAATGATTTCTTTCACACTGTTACACATTGTTCATGAGCTAGATATAGTATGTCTCGACCGGTTTAATCTTGAAGGCGCAGGCAAATTCTTACACAACAAAAAAACATTATTTCACTCGTTGAATCCATTCTCTGCACCCCATTTTCGATCGACTTTGGTTGCAAAAGGAAGAAAAAGGCATCTTTCTTCGACTTCTTCAATGTGCTGCGTTTCAATCGAATAACTTACCCACTTTCTCTATCCCGTTTACACATCGCATTTCCATGTATATCTAATTCAATCTGGCTATCTTCATAAAACACACAGACATTTTGCCTTGGCACATCCAAACAACCGAATCTTCCTTCTTCATTATATGTCTATGTGGTGCTCTACGGATGCTGCTGCTGCTGCAGCATCAGTATGATTACCATTCTTTTCGTTAGTTATGCGAATGAGCACATCCAGCATATTTGGATTGTACTCTATTTATTATGTTTGCCGTTCGTCTGTGAGTGCAAACATTTTTGCCAACTCTCGATGTGGCAATATATTGGTGGTGGTTGCTCGTCGTCGTCGTCGTCGTCGTCGTCTTCGTCATCGTTGTCGAGCCATGTAAGAGGTGAGGAGTTCAGTGCTCGTTTTACATTGTTATAATATAGAAATTTATGCGTTGCTATATACTTTGTTTATGATTCATAACAATTTTGACGAGAGAAATGGAATGCACATGCGCATACAAGGCAAAACGACCGATTTGTATATACGACAATTTTATTTCCCTTTTAATTTTGTCATTTCGATTTCAGAGTAGTGAAAAATTGCGGAAATTTTTTTACTCAAGAAAAAACAAATGTTTTCATTCATTCATGTTCAAAAAATGTATTTTTAATTAGAAAAAAATGAAGCATACAATAACCTAGAAGGCGCATAAAATTCGATCGAAAATAAGGAATTCAATGTAATAGGGTGAACGTGCCTATTATTACACCAGCCTTATAATTTTTATAAACAAATTATTTAGCAGCGTTTCTAGTGTGTGGTCTATGATTGGAAGTGTGTGTATACCAAAGACCGAAAAGAGCAGCAACAACAACAAAAAACCATTGAAAACACATGTAGTACTCTAGTAAAAAAAAAACCAAACCATACACACATTGTCTCTCACCAATACACTCATAGGATTCCTTTGCTCTCTTTGCTGCTCCCACAATCTGACATTTGTATCAGCTATCAGCTGCTTTATGCGGTGTCTCTCTGTTTCACTCTCATTCTCTCAATCTGCACGTCCGACAAACAAATACCCGAGCAGAGAGAACGTGTACATTGAGTGAATTTTCGAATGAACCTGAATTAAAATCATTCATTCTTTCGGCTCTCCATTGAATGTTCACTCAAGTCGAAGTGCTCATACACATGTACATACATAGAGTACACACTCTGCACAGCAACTCCGTGAATCGATATATCGTATGCGGCAAATGTACTACTATGTGCTACGACGAATGAATATGTGTTGCTGGAATGTTATTCTTCGCTCTTTTTTCCATGTATTCCATTTACGCTATACGCGCACACATACCAACAGTTGTGATGGGCTCGCTGTTATCGAGTGTGCATGTGCTTGTGTGCTCGTATTTGGTTTATGTGTGTGATAATACATTTGTGAGGTAATGGCGGACAGCTAACACTCATACACACACACACACGCACACATCCAAACATTGGTATCAATGTCTGCATTTGCTTGTTGGAAAGACCAACCAAACTCAGTGTTTTTTATAAAGTAAACGATATACAACATACAAAATACAAGCGAGCCGAACGAATCGCGGTTTTCTGTCAATTTTTCTTATTAATTTTTCGTGTTATTCAGTATTTTTTAATTCATCGAATCACATTTTGGATGTTAATTCAGTTTTTTTTTCTCTCGAAAATTCCATTGTGAATTTTGGGCAGACATTAGTTCAGTGCGACGACCTTTTCCCATTTCGCCGAAAGAGACAAACGAAGGAAAGAAAAACCGTCGCGAAATGTTTTGTTCTCGCCTTCGGTAAATCGATAAATATCTTATGTGTGTGTTTTGTGTGTGATTTGAAAGCCAAGTGTCAGTTGTTTTTATTTTACCATTGATTTTTTTTTTTCGTTCCTAAATCGTAATTTGCCGAAACATTGCTGACCAATTCAATTAAAATCAAATGTGATTGATATTTTTCTATCAAATCACTTGATGGGCTAGAAATATTGCTGACTAAACCAATGGAATGCCATCAAAATCATAATTGAAGTCACAGATTGATTATTGTGTCACTTGACATTAAAACAAACAAAAACGACCGAACATAGAAGTGAATGAAGAAAACAAAATTACTTATCGATACAAAACATATATATATACCGATGGACATACATGTGTATACTATCAATTGTACAGCTCTAATGCGTTGTAAGCAATAACAAATCGATGAGTGTTTTTTCCGGTTGTGCGTTTTTCAACTAGAAATTCATTTGTTTACAACCAAAGCGGCGATACCAAGCGGCATTCGTCGTGAACGGCTGCACGCTCTGTTTTCCACGGCACGGTGAGCTAGACAGAGAGTGAACAGTTTCAGTAAATGTATGAGTGAGTGAGTGCAAATGCAATTGAATCGGTATTGCACAGTGGTGCAATTTGGCAAGTACGAGACACACGGAGCGAGCGAGAGAGAGAGAGAGTGAGTGAGTGCATGTGAATTAAGTGGCTGAAATGTCGTTGACATTTCTCAACAGCAAGGTCTCATTTATGTAGCATTGTCGCTGTCGTCGTACATTTTGCAAGCGTCTCTGTCAACATACAATTAATTGATTTTGCTCATGTTTCCATGTTTCACACTTAAAATGCATTTATGAACGGCAAATCGCTAGCAATTTTTGTGCTAAAACGGTGTTATTTCTATGCAAACTATTCTGATTTGGGTGTTGTTGTGAATTTTCGTCATTTTGATTGAGATTTTAATCTGATCTGGTTCCGAGAACCTGAAGCGTTTGTTTATCCGTTGTAATTCAATTCGAGAAATTTGTAATTCTTTTGAGAAAGGAAAAAAAATCTAAAACCAAAATCATGTTGTTTTTTTCTGTTCATTCAATAATAATCAGTTGTGCTAATGAAAATTGAAGCATTGCATGTTTGCCGCTGTAAAAAAAAACCATATAATTCGTGATTGTGATAATCTTATTTCTCATCGACATAATCCACTCGGTCGACAAACACGAAAAGGACCAACAGAAAGCAGAAAAAAACCGAATAACGTGTGTTACTCAGAGTAAGAGGATCGACATAAAAGCATTGAGATTAGAAGATAGCATCGAAAGTCGACGACGACAACAACCATCGACCATATAAAACATCTCCACACATTCAGTGTAATACGCAGCAGCAGCAGCAGCAACGATATAAAAAAAAGAGAGAAGCAGTCGGAAAGCGACAAAACCAAAAATATATTAATTATCCGGCTGTGTGTCGTGATTCAATTAATCACCGAATGTCGGATCCAGCATCATAGTGGTTTTTCACTTTTTTTATGCTGCTCGCTTCGGCTTTTTTCGTGTATGTGTATATGTTCACGGTTGCTGCACGATTTTCGCATTTGATGGTGCGGCCGCTAAAATTTGTTTTTTCTGTTGGCTTTCGTTTTGTGTGTGCATCAAATTAAACCGAAAACAGTCACAGAGAGCGAATGATCTGGCACTGAAAAGCAGCGGTTACCATTTCATTAGGTGTAGGTGTTGAAAATTGATATCAAAAGGCTGCATCATAAACCACAGACTCCACCATTCCGGCCTTTAATTATTCGGAAAGAGTGTCGAATTGATGTGTTCGTGCTTGGCTCACTCATCCAAACGCAACAGCCAACTGAATTTATTACCGAGTGTAAAATTCTTTGAGTGCATTGAAATCTTATGATTAAAAAAAAAACAGTGAATTTTCTACCCACCGACGCAAAAAAAAGCAGAAGATTCGTACAAAGTGTTGTCAATATATCAAGCATTTCTTGATTACGAATTCTGTTGTGGAAAAACCTATTTAAAATTCAAGTGAAAAGAACCGGCATTAAACGGACCCCGTGTAAATCAAGAGATTTTTCGCATTGCCAGACGGTATTGTCTGCGAGCGTTGCTACACTACGAACAAAAAAAAATCACGAAACGAAATCAATTCATTCGTTCAATCTTTTGTATGTTGTCGCACAATTGGAGTTGCAATCAAACAAGTAAGAAAAATCACTTTTTGTATCCCCATGTTAGGTTTGGCCGTTCGTTCGTTCGGCGAACAACAGAAAAAAAACGCGAAATTTAAATGGCATCGTTGTTGGATAGAAAGCCGTTTAAAATGTAACACGATTTTTTCTGCTTCTTCTTCTTCTTCTTTTCATCGCTAATCAAGTTACAGCTTTAAAATGCGCCGACGTTCTGTGTTTCATTCTCGCTCTCTCGATTCCATTTGATACACCATTTCATGCAGAAAAATATGCGCGCTTGCTCGTGATTTGCATTTTATTTCAGCTTGGAATTATATTTTGATCGACCCTCTTTCAGTATATATATTTCTTTTTGTCATTGCTTTCTTCCATTCGCCAGTGCGCCCTAGAACAGTGTTCTGAAACGACCGTTTCGAATTACATTTGTGTTGGACGCAAATCTTGCTCTCCACGAAAAATGACACGCCGTGTATATTTAATGCGTGTGGAATATATTTCCATTGATATTCCTCCGAGAAGAGGAGAGGAAACAAAAATATGTGTATGTGGTTCACATACACAAAGTGCGCGCAAGCGGAGAATGTGACGTTCGAAATGCATGAAGTGACATAAAATTTCGCCTACACAATCATAACTGCCAACTTACGATAAGTACAAATGTACATACAGACACACAAAATATGCAATCAAACGAGACGAACGAAATTAATAAAGCCAAGGCATAAGGCAGATATCATGCATTATTCGGCAACCACATTTGGCTTGCGTATAAGCCGAGACATGGAATGCGAATATCACAAATGAGGAAAGAGAAGACAAGATTTATGCTTCATTTATATAATTAATTTTTATCTCTTGAATTCTGTTTTGATTGCGTTGAGCAAACACACACAGCAAGCAAATCAAACTGGCGCACAGAGCATAAACTAGTGCAAACGGAATAAAAAGTGCGAGAGCTTGACTCGAACCGGCACGCACACACGAAATGACAATTCGACAGCGTGCGGTGTGTAGGATGTCGATGTCGATTCGACTCGTTTTCCATCGTCTTAAGTGTCTGATTTCATGTCTCAATGGCGTAGATTTTTTTTTCCATTTTCGCTTCGTTTCTCTCTCGCACACAACACATATTCTTTTCCAATTCATTTCGTTGCATCGTTTGCATTTATTTATACGATTGCCGTCCGTCGATTTCAGTTCAATTGAATTTCAATAGCAAATGCTGTATTGATGCACACTGCCAATTGCATTTGCCAGATATATATATATTATATATACATATATATATATGTAAATAAAGTGGAATAGTAAGTGAGATAATGAAAAAAGAGCTGATGTTTTATTGGGCGTCAAGTGTGAAAGGCCCTTTGTGCGCGCCCGGTCGAGTCAAGAGCATTCGATGTGTCATAATGCAATGACGACGCCTGCACAATAATCAACCATTGGTGATGTGAGTAAGCGAGAGAGATAGGAAGAGTCAAGAAAAATACATTCACTACAAATCGTTCTATTGAACTATTGAGAACAGCACACACACACCATTCAACAGCATCGACATTGAATGAACCATTCGAAGAGATTCAATTATGAAACTTACTCAAATGTAAATCAATCAATTCCATCTTCAGCTATCGGCTAGTGTATGTGTGCTATTGGCAGATACACACCATTTTCCATTTCAATTTTGTCAGTTGCGCGACAACTTATGTAGTCTATCAACCAGGCCAAGTCTTGCCTTTGACATGCAAACAAATAGCCAGCGATATTGATAGTCATTTTTCGCCTTCGATGCTTGTCGATGCTGTAACTCAATTTTTTTTTACTTCTTCTGATTTCTTCTCCTTTCAATGGAGAGTGAAGAAAAAATCTTCACTAACGATTGCACTTCAGTGTTATAAAAATTAGTACTCAGAACGCATGATAGCATCACATTTACATCATTCACTTGCCTTTTTAAAATGTGAAGGATGTGAACGAATAACCAATTCCATAGAAAATCAACAAAACACTTTATTGAAGACGATTGACTCATAAGAAACGTAGAAAAATTGCTTTTCAAAATGAAAACATTACACGGAATTGTGTTGATAAAATGGAAGACTTTTTTGATATGGTAAATAAGATCCATGTTCTTTTTCTCGCTTTGATGACTTATTCAAAACATCAATACCTTCAATTATTTTTCTCTATATACAATTAGTTCGACTGGTTTGGAAAGTGGTTAAATATCTGTTCAAGAAATTCAGTACAAATGAGAAACATTGTAGCATGACATTGGAATTGTAGTGTGGAGAATCTGATGTATAATTGAAAAAATGACCTAAAATCACGCATATACCGGAGGAAGAAAGAAGAAAAGTACAACTCGTACTGTATGAGAAATGATAGAAGCCTCTTATTGGTGTAAGAATTGTTTGAATCCCCTTTTTCAACCATTTCTTTTTCACATTCGACTGTGTTGGTTTTTTCCCATTTTCCATTCTTCATATACTCTTAATTACCTGATCACATCCCATTGATATAATTTATAGTGATGAATAATTCGGCTAGGTGACGGGAATACATAGAGCGTTAAAATAAATAATGTAAAAAATGGACATATCCATGTGGTCATAACATTTTCCACTGGATTGAGCTATTTAATTGATGAATTTAAAATAAATTGCGTTGTGTTCAGGTGAATCAAAATTAAATTGCTTCGATATAATGAAATTCCATAAATGGTCGAAAATGCGCTTTATGTTTTGTACCAAATGAAAACATACTCGCACACAAAATCGAGCCAAAAATCCATTAATCAATAAACGGAGCAACGTTCGTTGCACGTATTTTTCATCGAAATTGAATTTGATCTGTCTGTACTCGGATGAAAGGGCCAGGTGAATTGAACTCAATCGATTGGTGTGCAGAATTTTCCAAGCACACAGCCGTGTGGAATTATGGAATTAAAGCGACAACAAAGTGGTGAAACGAAAGGGGAAAATCCAAGGAATTTTTTTTTCGTGTAGAAAAACATGTTTGGTTGAGCCCTTCTGTAAGGCTGAAGCAAACCGAAGCAAACACAAACGAAGTGAGAATAGATTAGAAGTTGCACACAAAACTAAAGAGAAGGCAAAATAAAGAAGAACACGGAAAGAAGGCGAAAAAAATATTGGTTTTAATAAATCTTCAAACGACCCTTTTTTTCCCCCGGTTAAGCAAGTTGCTCGTCATTGCCGCTTCGTTCGCCATGTTTGCTTGGCCACACCGACACACACACACACAGTCCGGCCAATATCCTGCTTAATGCGAATGACTCCATTTCCATTAACGCATGTATAGCAACACACGGGGAAAGTGAGCGGGAACGAGCGTGTGTAAACACCGAAAACTCACTACGTTACTAAGGGAAATATGCTGTGATCGTTCATTATGCAATATTTCTTATAGCCAACCGTAGTGTACACAACGAGAGCAATATTTTTATGTGTGTGCCGTGTTTGTTTTTTTGCTCTATCTTCATTTTGTCTAAATTCGATTTAGAGACAACATGAGCACAAAATCGCTTGTGCAAAGTAACCAATTCCATTCTCTCTCTCTGTTTGAAAAACGACAAAGATCCAGATAAGCGAGGCATGTTAACCATTTGGCACCGGTTGTTGTCTATGCGATAGAATGAGTCCATGGTTTATTGCTGCAAGTTACGCAGGTCGGAAGTGACTTAAGGGCAGCGCTCAACTTGAAATGTTGACAACATAATGGATCGAGTTGTCGCTCGAGAACTGATAGCAAAACAACGATAGAGAAAAAAGGGTGAATGCAATTATTACCATCGAAAAAGCACTTTCTCACTCAAATTCACATTCACATTTATTCATTTAACGTTGCTCATATTAATGCTATTTTTCATGTCAATCGCCAACTCTATTTGCGCTCCAAATTCTGTTGAAAACGTTTATTTCTCTAATATTTACCTTTTCCGTTCTGTTTCTCTTTCCCTCGTTTTTGTCCACTCGACCAAAATCCCAGCACGCAGCATATTGTTGTTTTCAGAAGAAATACGGTTCCGCTACGTCATCATATCCACTTATAAAGATGTACGAGCAACGTTGACCTGCGGGATAAATGGGAAAAGAAGAAACCCGCCCGAAAACGGCAACTGTTAGATTTCCACCATTGTTGAATAAACAATCCGTTTCTCTGATGCGTACCAAATAAACATTTACCGAACTACAAATCAAATACCCAATATTTCTTGCCAAAGGGAAAAAGAAGCTAAGAAGAATTGCTTCTTTACACGAACGTTCTTTTCTCTCTCTCTCTCGATGTCTTTTTAACTCGTCTCGAAAAGCGAAGAGACACTCTATTATTCAATTCAAAATACCCAAATACATTCAACGGAATTTAAATATTGATCTAATAGTCAGTGGATTACGTCTTTCAATCCGTCTGCTTCCTTTTGGAAAGTCACGCGGATTTCAGATAACGTATGCATACAGAATATTCAATATTACATACGAAAGTGTATTAACGCTGCTTATGTATTGAAACTGCTGCGTTTCACATTCAATACGTTTTGTCTCAAAGCGAGTAACGATTCCGGAGTCTCAACTTGAGTTACCGAATCGTTCTCGTACCGAATCATTTGAACTGACGAATCGATTCCACTTGGCGCAAAGAGTTCAGTGCAAGTGAACTCTGGGCCACAAATATTTTGGTCGAAGTGTGAATGGAACATAAATTATGACACAGTCGGAAGCGCCGTATGAATAAATTCAAGTGCTACTGATGAAAATAGACTCATATGTTACACTTGGGACTCGATGATTCGAAATGTCTATGATATCCGTAGCGCTGCTTCGTAACAGAAAATTTGGTTATTTTCAAACATAAATTAGCGGTGGCTGTTGGTCTGTAAATAAACGATGATCTAATGAATTCGATGTTGGTTCTTGTTTAGACAGTACATATTTTAGCTTTAATTAATCCGAATCCACGAAGGAGAGTTGAATGAACAACATTGAAATGAAATTATAACATTGAAATGCGATTGATGCATCTCTCGGTGTTTGAAGATCAAATATATGCTTCAAGATAACCGCCGCTTCATATTTATAGCTCTAGATAGGAAATGCGTATTTACGATGAAGATGTTGAAAAAGTATAGTAGAATTCTGGTGCATTCTGGTGTGTATGCAAGGAATTTCATTTTGATAGACAGATCCATTTTGAATAGGAAATGTTTGAAATAATCCAAAATGTCTGTCTAAAATGAAGTTGAGTTTAATATAAACCATGAATTAGATTCTAAACATTTCTTGATTTAAAAATGACAAACAAAGCTGAAAGAACGATAAGAGTTGTTGGCGTAACAATAGAAAAGTGTATTGTTCTTTTCACTCTCTCTCTCTCTCTCTCTCTCTCTCTCTCTCTCTCTCTCTGTTGCATTTTAATCATTATTCATAAATAATCTCTCCGCCTGAGTTATGGGTCAATAGCCTGGGCGGTTGAAGCATATGCGATACGATATGTAAAAAATGAATGAAGAACAACGAGAAATGAGCAATTAACACCAGAGAGCGAGGAAGAGAGAGAGAGAGAGAGAGAGAGTGCTATATTCTGTCATTTCGTGCAGCATGAATATTTTCGGTTTATAATTTTTGTTGTATTATTCAAAACACATGTGTGCGATCCGAATCAGCCCAAAGTCTCGTATTCGGATACTTTTTCGGTTTGGGCAACGAGGCATTTTGTAGCCATGCAATTGCATTGTGTCGTATCCGTATGTTAGGTTTGAAGTGTGTATATTTTAATGCATCTTTAATGGATTTGAATATGGTTTTTGCGTCTGCCGATGATATACGTGTCATTTGCAGTTTAGCACAGGGAATAAAAACTATTTGCAAGCGAGTATGTGAGATAGAGAGAGAGAGAGAGCAGTTTACGCGAACGGCGTGAACATATTCAAAATAAAATAAATTCCCTGTTAATTTATTGATGTCGACGAAACGCGGTTGAACAGAGCGCATGAAATGAATGGCACAACGGTCCCACCGTTGAATCCAGAGAAGAAGATACAGAGAGACACACACAGAGAGTGGAAAAATTGCGATATTCAAATTAAATTGCATCATTAAAATTTCACACGAAACACACACACAAGCCATCCCGAGATATGAATGCCGAGGCGTTGCTGCATTCTCTACCCGGTTTTCCCGGTTTTTACGCGCTTCTCCGTTCTATATTTTATATATCTTTTTTTCCCTCTCTTGGTCACAAGCAAAGACAAACGAGCATCTTCACAAAGAACCGAAAAGGGAAAAAAACAAACTAATGAAAATGCATTGTAAAATGGTTATGCAAAAGTGTGAAAAACCATCTCATACGCTGTGCAACGTTTGCACGCTCATTCATTCACACAGATAATGCCTAATGCACTTGGAGTGGGGAAAGCCAGCACAAAACACTGAAATAATAAACAATTTTATGCTGCTAATTGCTTTCTTTCAAATCGTTTACACCATAATCGTGTGTGTGTGTGTGCGCGCGTCCGCGATGTAAAATATTCAGCGTTAACTTTTCATTTTTTCATGCATGGCAAGGCAAGACAAAGAGATACGACGAACTGCACGCATTACGATTCATTTATGTTAGCCGCTCTATGTGCCACACTGAACACAGCGTTGCGCGCATTCAAGTGCAATCACTGAATGCTGCAAATTATTCTAGAACAGACCGAAAAAATATGCATGAACATATGCTTAATGCGAAGTTTGGGAGAAAAAAGGAGGACACAAAAAATGTATATCTACAGAAAAATAATCGCACAACAAGCCACTGCAAGTCCTGGAGGATTTCAAGTTTGAGCACACAAAAAATATGCAGCAATTCTCTGAGCGTTTTAATGGTAATGAACTTTGAAAGTATGATTAATAATGGAACACACAAACTACATGACTGCATTTTCGATGCAGCGCATGTGATACCAACGAAGTGACTGCCCGAGTCAGTTGCAATGCACTGATAAAAATAGAACTTGCACAATGAACTACCCATAAATTATGGCTTGAAATAGAATTATATTCAACATTTAACCGACAACAACGACAAGAAAAAACGGAGTGCGAAAAATCTTCATTGAAAAATCATCCGAGTACATCATTTTCTGTGTGCTACGTTTTTTCGTGCTCTTCCTCTCTCTCTCTCCGTTTTTCTATCTTTCTCCTTCTCTTTTTCTCGTTAAATCGGATTTATGCAATTAAAAATCCCGAACGCTACAACTTTCAATGGTGTCAACTTGAAAGATTCCCAACCACTCTTTTGCATGAGTCATTTCCATTTTCTCTTGTGACTACTCGACTTCTGTCGAATGCATATTTTAAAACTTTAATTCCGAATGCCCGGAATGCCTTGGAATTCTGATGAAGTTGAAAAGTTCGACAAGTTTACGACTTTGTGGCAACTTCTTCAAAGTGTCATATTCCCAAAGGTGTTTCATACTAATCGTTACTATAGTACCTCTGCGCTTCGATGATTTACCATATGAAATCGGCAAAAAAAGATTTAAATTCTCGAACGAAGATCAAATCTCTGCGAATAAGGTTCAAATTGCTTTATTTTCCGACGTCGAGTTCAAGTGTTACCATCATGCGAATGCTTTTTATCCAAGTCGAGCGATGAGCGTGCAACAGTTTTGAGAACTATATGAATTAGAAAATAAAACAACGACAACACACGTTTTTGCTTAACTCGATTTTCAAACTCCATTAATATGCTTTGTCTAAAAAAAACAAATTTTCACCGGAGCATAAGTTTTGTGGCAGATCAAACGAGATCGTACTTTACTTTAATTGGCGTCCATTTCGTGGGCATTTGCATTTTAATACGCTTGCAAGTGTATTGTTTGCAAATACGGTCTCTCTTTTTTTCACCTTTTTTTTTAACTCAACGTGTATCTATGCATTGTGACAATTTTCTAGTGTCCAATTTTTTCGGTCATATGGACTATATTGCTTTAATGAATGTACTCATTCTGAAAAACTACAGCTTTCTATTGTTTTCATTCTCTTGAATTTAAAACAGTTGTCGTTTTATGAGTCATGTCAAGGGTTTAAAAAACAAATGAGCACACTAAAGTCATTGCAAAAACAAGTTGCATGATGATAATTTATGCAAAATGTAGTTTATGATTTTATATTGTTGCTTTGTTGCCGAAAATATTAACATAATGTTTGTTTTCATTTCAGATTGGGGGATTTGGCATCAAACCACATAAATCCACCTTTGTTAAGCAAAAGCTAAACGTGAGTATATTCAGTCCATTTTCCAGCCCCATATTGATGTTATATGGTATGTCTCTGTTGAAGTAATGGTTTTCCTCGGGCAAAAATCCGCTTTTATCTACGATTCCAAATGAAATAAGCCTCGACGAGTAGACAAAGCTCGTTTGTCTCGACGCACCGACCAACACCAAAAAAACATGTCATAAAATCGAACAGTTTGTTTGGGGGCGTAGAGTTGGAACATGGTTGGCATTTTGAATGTCAAAACCACCGAATAGACGTGCTAATTTCTTGCAAACAGCCTCAAATACATTGTGAATAACGGTGGAAAAAAAAGCGCCTCTCTTCCCAATGTGACAAGCATATTTCAGTTTTCTGATAGAGGCTAGACTTGTAGCCCGTTGGGAATATTGAAAATGTATATATAGCCAAATACGTCTCGAAAATATCATAAATAATGCGAAAATAAAAATTTCTACTGCGGAAAATCACGAAAACAAACGACACCACATGCTCGTTTTTTTGTTGCTTTGCTCTTTGTTTGACATTGCAAACACATATGCAAATATTTCAATAGCAGCTAATAAAAATATGCGATGCCATTGCCATGCTACTGCTATTTATTCACAATGGCCGAGTACAGAAAATATCATATATATTTCTCACTGCGGCGGCACGTACCCCGAATCCGAAAAATGAAATTAGAAAATATGCGCACCGAACAAACAATGGAAAAATAATTCCATATTGAAACAAGTGTGCGTGCGCTGTGCGCTCTCTCTTTCTCTCTCTCTCTATCTCAATGTTGAATAAATCGCATGTTTTTCCCATTCATTAGATCAAAGTATAACTGGAACGCCAGGGCAGTGTTTTTGTGTGAATATGTGCGCGCGTGTGAGCAAGCGCATGCATATGTCGTTGCCTCAGAGTATAATTTTTGGGGAAATTCAAAAGGGATTAGCATGTAATAATTGAAATAAAATGTTTGAATTTCATTTCGAATGTAAATTGAATGAGGAGAAAGAGAAGTTGTGCCGCAAAATATACGTGGTGGCTTATTTTTAGTTATCCACATCAATAAAGTGGGAGAAATCGTTGAATTCGATCAGCTAGAAAATGCCATTTTCCAAAAATTGAATTAATTATACAATCGAAATGGGATTCTATGCAATGGAATTTTCACTAGAGCAGATGATATGGCATAAAATACCAATTTTATGTGTATTGAAAATCCAGAATTGCTTCCTCGTTTGGCAAAAAACTAATGCCAATTTAGTATTACAACAAACGGTATGCTCATGTTATTGGTGTATAACATTTTCGTCAAACCACAAAAGTCATCATTGTATTGGCATATATTGTACCGAGACCAAAAACACAACGAAATGCCAATATTTCCGATTGAACACCCGGTTCACCAATTTGACCACTTCGTTTTTCTCTAATTCCAATTTTATTGGAAATTAAAATGCAAACGTTGCATGATTATTGCGCTGACCAGATTCCAATCATGTGTGTGTGAGAGAGGGAATGTTTGTTTGACCGACCATCAATCCAACGAGAATATGTGGTGTTCATTTCAAAACAAATTCGTTCATTTGTAATTTATTGAAATTTCGAAGAAATCGTTCTAACTCTTGTGTTTTTTTCCACCCTATTTATAGCGGTGACTCACATACACACAGAACATAATTATTATTTTAGATGCCAGTCGGTGACATAACACACACACACACACACACCAACGGTTCCATGCTGTTGTTATTTTCCATTCGGAATGAAGCAGTGATGGCGTGCAATGCGCCGCGTTAACATGTAATGGTATATAATTTACAGCGTTGAACTCGTCGATTACAACATATTTCAATCGGAAATGCTTAGGATACTTTTTTTACTCTCTTTCTCTCTCTCTCTCTCTCTCTCTCTCTCTCTTTCTCGAAAACATAAAACGCACATGCAAAGTAATAATCATACATCAACGTTCGATATACTGTTGCATAAAAATGAGAAATTATTCAATCAAACGTTAAAATGATGTGCGTATCGTGTCCTGTGTATGTGTTTCACTCTTTGCCGCCACATTGCTTCACATACAGCAGCTACTCTACTATTTCGATGGTATTTATTATGGCCATAAAATAAACTAACAATTTATTGCCCACTGAATATGCTTTATTTTATGCAATATATAAATATAGGTTTTTTATCCTTTCACAAGAGAAACATTCTGTTTACGATGATTTATTTCACATTACATTGTATGCAACTCAGTAGTGCCAGCCATAAAGATTCTAAATGAATCGTATGATAAGTTGACGTATTTTTTTTCTAATTCTGCTTCGTTTTTACTCCCTCCAACCATCTTGCTCTCTTTTGGTCTCTATTTAAAATTCCTCACATGGTTTTATTTCCATGAGTTTGAATTTTTTTTTTTGGATTCGTTATTAACCGAATTGGAAACTAAAATACTTAATTATCCACAACAAATTGACCAATATAATTGTAATGCTTGGTAAAAAAAAAGGAGAAAATAGTACAACAAATGATCCTCGTTTAAATTATATGAACGAATACGAATAGTATGCGGGATTTATAGTTTGAAATGTGTGTATGTGTTATCAAATAATGTGAAATGGAAGAAACCTCATGTATAGTTTATACGATTATTGTTATTGAAAATAATGACCTTGGTTAACAGTGTTATTGAATCAATAAGCCGATGAACGGACATTCCTATTTTTGTCCCTTTCAGTACGTAATAACAGTTTGGTATTACCAAACGGCATCATAAACCCGTACCCTATGTGTATCTGCTATTATGATAATGACCGTGAATAAGTCGGCATTTCCCGCAGTTAAATTCATATTCTCAACTTCATAATAATAATAATCAGTTGCTCTATGTCATCATAGCATTTTTGTTATTTTACTAATGGAATTTTTTTTTTCCATTTTTCCATTGAAAAAGTCATTTCGTTTTTCGAAAAAATTATTTACCAATTTCATGAGTCAAAAACTATGAAAATGTCGAAGTGAATGTGGTGTACGAGGCAAACATTAAGATTTATTGGCCATGATAAATGAACAAAACCATTTTTTATGGTTATGTGTGTGGAGAGAGTGCGAGAGAGGGAGAGAGTGACTGTCTCTGAAGTGACTGTTGTCATTTAGATATGTGAGCTCGTCTGTGTGTGTAACTATGTGCACTTGTAGCACAAAGTGCGATGCTTTATCAATTTCAATACATCACATTCGAAAGATGAGTTTTTTGTCCCAGCTCAAAATCATTTATTTGATTTTTCGTATGTGTCGACTGTAATCGCGTTGTAATGCAGAGCATGTGCTATGTTCACATGGAAGAAAAAAAGACAAAAAATGCTGAACGCGTTCGTCTAATGGAGATAAATGGCTATGTACAGTTTTGTATGTGAATGTGACTTGGTTGCATGATCATATGTTTTAATCTATTTTCCATAAAGTAGACGCTTGTACACACAACCAAAACCATTTGGAATACCAAACAGCCCGATTATTTTACGCCTTTCGGTGCTGAGCGGCTAAACCAAAAAAAATTACATTAACCGCAATCACGATTAACAGAAATCAAAAACAATAAAACACTCAACTACAATCTCCGTCATTAATCTTCGGAGAAGATCGATAAACAGTCCACTGTAATAGAAATTGACCTAACAATTTTTGTTTTGATTCAAAGTTATCTATAGATAACACAACGCCGGCGATAGAAAAAGGCGTCGTTCTGGTACCAAAATAGAAATTCAGTGAAAGAAAATTATTTCCATTCGGACACTTTTCTAGCCTCAAGTGATCAATTCGACGAACGATGTTTCGTAAACGGAAAAAAGAGCAAGTTTTTTCCTTTAAAAGACGCTTGTGATTATGAGTCGCAATCATATTCTCTCTATTTTCACCATCGAAAATGGAAAAAGTGCTGTTGCTATTGGACGTTAGTCGAAATGTTTTGGCACATCGATTTCATGGTTGCGATTTTTCTATTCGGCATTTTTCCCTCTCTGTGTTATACAGTCTTCAGTCTCATTATTCAAAATGCCGAAGAGGTCGGAGCAACAGAAAAAAAGTGCCGAACAAAACAAAGTTTTCCGCATCGAAATCCATAAATTTGCTGTTGGCTATGAAATATATGCGCGCACACCCAAACAATCTCATTCTGTGTCTGCTCCGACGAATTTGATCTGTTTGCATAGACATGCGTGTACCCCATGGCATTGGCGTTGCCATTGCCGTCGCCGTCGCCGTCTGATGAAAAATCGAATTTCACTGCCTTAATCAATAAGCGTTAAAATTAATAGCGTCAATTTTTTTAGCGTCGCATAGGTCGATTCCGGTTACCAAACTTCACCTCTATTTACTATCGCAGCAGAGTCTTTTGCTCTGTCACACTCGATAATGACACACCAATCAGTGCAATGAAATTGCCGGAATGGGAAATGAAAATCGAACGAGAGACAATGATTCGAACGACGACGACGATGAATCGAACGTGGCGTTAAATTAATTTTGAAGAAAAATGACACGCCAGCTCCGATGGTGAATAACGCCCGTCAAATGACGGGTGTTTTCTTTTTCACCTCCGGGTAGCTTCTGTTTTTGCTGCTCTGTAATGAAAAAGTGTCAAACTTTTTCCGGGACAACAGTCGATATATTCGATATGATGCGAGACTCCATATTCCATGGCTGCAAGCACACGAACGACAATTTAATGGCAATTTATGCCCCTTAAACTGCTATCTGATGAAGTCGGCTGCTACTGTTTTTTTTTCTCGCTACCGTCACATAAACAAAAACTACCAAATCGCAACTAAATTTGTTTATCTGCGTTCAACTTAATAGGTTTTATGTGTGTGTGAGTATGTAGATATTTAGCGTCATACTTCTGCACGTATATCTCATTGGGGAGTCGTTTCGCACAAAACAACGACATTCACGTGTGTCGCTGTGAGGAGTTTACATAACAAATGGTTCATTGATCCATTTGCAAT